GGGACCCAAACCATGGCACCCTCTGCTTCTGCCAGGATGTTACACCAAATGGGAATTTTTCATTTTCATTGTTTTGTTTATGTACTCAAAGTATCTTTCCAAAATTCCCATGCAAGTTTGGATATGCTGTTYTTCATCAGATTGGGAACATAATCCTGCTGGAACAGTTGGATTTTTTCTTTTGATTTTACTTTGGGAGTTGCATGCAGGGACTTSGGGGTGTTTTTGGACCTCTTGGGTCAATAATCTGAACAACATTGCACCATAATTACAGATGTCTGAAATTTAGCAGTGCCTGGGGACCAATAACAAAAGTACTTGGCTCCATCAAAATCCCATTCCTTCCGTCAAGGGTTGGGAAGGCTTGAGCTGGTTTCCCCTCTCATGTTTGTGAAACAGCCTTGCACTGAGCCCTCTACCATCCCAGAGAAGGGCAATGCCTACTCCTTTACCAGTCTCTGGAAAGACCATGATGGAAGGAGAAACTGCACCCCAAAAAATGATCTCAGAAAATGTGAGGCCCTTGAACCTCGTAGTTTTGGCCCCAGCCCTGGTTTCCTCSTGCTGCTGGGGCAGGGCTGTGATTAGCAGGGCTGGGGAGCTAATGTGGCGAGGCAGCTCACAGCAGATACAGCAAAAAACCTCCCACGGCCTTTTCTGCCCTCAAAAAACCTCCTGCACTCCAGGTCACATCTGCCACCTCCAGCACAGAGAGCAGGAGCAGGGGAGAGCAGCTCATGCCAGGCTGCCTAAAGAATGAATGAAATACCACARCAGCACAGATTTGCTTCAGGTTTTGCTGCAGAGGAGGCTCTGGATCACTCTGGAGTGGGAGGGTTTGTTTTCTGCTTCTGCTTTGCTGAGTCAAACCATGAGTGAAGCAGTTCAGATCTGGAGAGTCTCAGTTCCTATAATTTCTAGCAGGGAAACATCGCTGCTACTGCTTTTGTTCCTTCCTACAGAGACCTGYAGCTTTGCTGGGCAGGAGCTCTGCTGAAATGTGCTTAGCACAGCTGGAGCCTCTCGTCACAGCTGTAAAAGAGGCAAATAAAAATAACATTTGTGCTCATCAGCAGCATCYCATTGTCTTCTCTCAGCATTGTTACTCAGCTGCCTTTGACACAGGTGTTAGCCAGATCCTGCTCCTGTTCCCAGTGCCCTGTTATAAGTGAAGTTGAAGAGCTTTCCACCATTTCTGACACAGCCTATTRTTTTTTCCCACCCTTCTCTCAGAGGAAGCATGGACATCAAGGAGTATTTTGCCAGARTTTCTTACCGGGGCTCCCACAATAAGGCAGACCTGGCCACCATGTCAGACATATTCCAGCACCACGTCCAAGCTGTCCCTTTTGAAAACCTCAGCATCCACTGCGGGGAAACCATTGAGCTGGACCTGGAAGCGACCTACAACAAGATAGTGAGGAAGAAACGTGGGGGCTGGTGCATGGAAAACAACTACCTGCTGTCTTGGGTCCTGAAAACTCTTGGCTACRACGTCACCCTTCTGGGAGCAAAAGTTTATGTCCCAGAGCTGGACGCCTACCCAGATGAAATCGATCATCTGCTGCTACAAGTGGAGCTCGATGGCAAATCCTACATTGTGGATGGGGGGTTTGGGATGGCCTACCAGATATGGGAGCCGATGGAACTCGTTTCAGGGAAAGATCAGCCCCAGACTCCCGGGGTCTTCCGTTTCCAGGAGGAGAGTGGGACCTGGTACCTCGAGAAGGTGAAAAGGAAGCAGCAGGTTCTCAACCAAAGCAGCTCCGTTTCCCAGAATGTGGAAGATGAAGTTTGCCGTCGGGTTTATCTCTTCACCCTTGAGCCACGAGACATTGAGGAGTTCAGGGGCTGCAATTCCCACCTGCAGACAGCGCCCGACTCGCTCTTTGTGACCAAATCCATCTGCAGCCTGCARACCGCTGACGGCATCCGGGCACTGGTGGGCTGGAAGCTCACTGAGATAAAGTACAATTACAGGGATAACACGGATTTTGTGGAAATCAGAATGCTCGCAGATGAAGAAATAGAGAAAACACTGAAGGAGAAATTCAATATAACACTAGACAAGAAATTTGTACCCGTCAACACGAGCAGGTTGTCTCTGTTCTAACTCACTGCCTGAATTACAATTCAATTCAGTGGCATTACAGGCAATTCTTCCCTCTCTTTCTGACAAGCATCTAAAGGTTAATCTTCCTCCTTCCATCTACACCAGTGTAAGGCAGAACATACTGGCACGAATCAGGARAAGAAATGGATTTTCACAACTATTCCTCCATCTCTTTTTGGTTTGGGTACAAATAATTTCTGCCTAGCTCAATCAAATCCTTGCCCTTCTCTCTGTGCTTAGTGGGAAGCAGACTCTGCCCGTTCCCTACTCCTTTCATCTCTTAAAAGCTTTTCTAAACACGCCCAGTGCAGCTGGGCACAATGATGGAGCTGTATGTCTTTGTTACCTGGTGCTGCCACCTGGGGAAAATCCTACCCACCTCTTAAATGAATACTGTAATATTCTGGGAATTTGACAGCCAAAAAAAACAAAGACATCATGCGCTGAGTTTGCTTCTCTAAAGCCATAAACCTGTTCTTTTTGCTCTCACATCCACARCTCCCTCTCACATGGCAGTCAGGCCATCCCACACCTGTGCAAATTCATGAGAGTACCTAAGGACAGGCTGTTTRTGAGCTAGAACTGATGATGAGAAACGTTGGCGACAATCCTGTGTTGTCTCAGACTCTGCACAGCTCCTGTTCTCTCGGTGACATAACCAGAGAGCAGCATTTCTTTGAACTGAAAGCATCTCCTGAGCGTTTTGTTTGCTCGCACTCAGCAGCAGCCTGCTGGGAATACATGTTCCTCTCATCAGACTCTACTCCGGGTGTTATTGCACATTAATTATTGTGGCTGAACCCAAACACAGGCACGGAATTATTTTTCTGAAACATATCTGTTCTACTGAGGATGTGTTTGCAGTGATGCTAATTATATTGATATAGGGAGAAACGATGAATCTTAATCACATACCTAACGGCTACGATTTCTAGGAGGAGAAATTACTCAAATGTGACCACTTTGCCCTTTGAGAAGATGCTTGAATGTTCCTTTATGTACAAATCTGGGAAGCATTACAACTATGCACTTATAATTAAGCAAATTATATAAGTGAACTACAATTAAATAAAAAACTCAAGCATTGTGAACTAGAATTATTCAGATGTTTTCTCCCCCCAAATTACAGCATGTATTCCCAAAGTAAAAAAAAATCATTAATCAGTGAAGTTGTCCTGATTATTTGTATGTGCTAATATTTTTCAGCAAAGGCTTTTAAAAAAAATAACTCACTGAACCTTTTTCACTTGTTAAGCAGTATGTGCAGGTTTCTCTAGCCCGCAACTCAGATTTAATAAAATTCAGATTTAATAAAAGCTGCTGCTATTCTGCATGTTCAAAATGTATTTCATGGAGACACAGCAAGCTCCTGAAACCCCTGTCTTCCCAGAGTCAGACTCATGTACATGTGCTTGATTTCAGGTGTGCAATAATGCTTTAGAGCAGACGAGGCTCTCAATCCTCTGAGAAAATTAAATGTGGCTGCAAAAGAAAGAAGRGATTCTTGTGGTGAGGACCAACAGCTTGCAACACAGATGGTCAGAAGAAATTGTCCCAGGATCTGCTTGTTTATGATCTGTGTTTTTCTGTGGTCCCCACATTAGTGGGAGAGCTAAAGGAGCTAAACTCAGTGGGACAGCTGGGACAAAGCTTTGGGATGCAGGTAAAGGTCCAGGCAGGTCTTGCAAAGTTGTGGGGCAGGGGAAGATCCATGCAGAGCCAACAATCTTCACCCTTTGTGGGGACAAGCATAGGAAACACCTAAAAAGGGCTGTGCCCACTCGTCTCCCTGTGCCAGGCTGTTCCTTGCACTTTGTGCTGCTCCACAGCCTCGGGGGAATGGGTACAGAGTTATAAAATCAGACCTTTAAAACCAGATTAGCGCGTTACGTCCATCGCCCCCRAGATGCAGCGTGTGAAGGGCAATCACTTTGCCAGGGAAAATCACTTTTCTTTCTGCTGACTCATCCCTGGAGCAGTGCCCGGTGCTGCCCCTCCTGCCCCTGCTCTGCTCCTGCCCCTTCTCTGCCTACCCACAGGAGCAGAGTGTATTTGCTGAGCAGCACAATGCACCTTGCTGTCACAAGGGGAAAAAAAAGTTCTTCGTCTCAGATTGCACTAATTTGTTTTTTTTCCCTTATCACAAACTTTGGCAGTAATTCCTTAAAGGCACAGCAGGCTCAGGGAGCTCAGAGCTCTCTGGGAGCAGCATCTTCCCTGCTGAARGACAGGGTTTCTCTTTGAAGCCAGGGGAATTCAGACAACTACGTGACTTGGCAAATCTGACCTGGTATCAGCCATGAGGAATGGGGTGGTGTGGTTAATTCAGCAGGTGCCATCCCCACCAATAAATCAGTGGCTTCCTGCCCTGGGTTACTCTCTTGTCTGTCAGGAGTCACTTCCTACAGGGATCCAGACYACATCAGTGTCAGCAATGTAAAATCTGCATCAGAATCTGCATGATTGCTTTGCTGCTTCTGCATGGAAGCCCCCACCAAGCTGCCCCAGAGACTGAAGCCCCTGGGTGATGTGCAGTGTTGAGGATGGGTTTATAGGTTATAGCCACTTACAAAAGTTGCTCATCATACCCATGCTTTGCACTCTTGGAGGGCTTCAGCTCTCATTCAGTGATGTGGAAGGTTAAATCCCCCTCAATATTGCAATCAGTTGGGGGACTGGATCATTTTCAGACTCTCCATACAGCACCTGACACAATGACAGCAATGACAGCATAACAGGGCTTTCCACACATATGCCAATAAAAATAAACCAATAAAACCATCAGAATTCGAACCACTRTAAAAGAAAAAACTCTCTCCTCTCTTTGGCTGCTCTGCTGGAAATAAGGCTGTCCCTGCCTGGCAGTAAAGGCAGCCTGGACCTTTAAGAGCAGCAGTTCCCAGTGCAGCTCTTCCTGGGAACTTTGGAACAGCCCAGGGTGGAAAGCCTGAGCTGACTGCTCTCCAGGTAAGCACTGAGTGCATGATCCCTAACTTCACCCCGCAGCTTTGGGTCAGCCCCTTTGGGAAGGGCTGCCCCTGGGAGCCTGCCAGCCAAATCCCAGCCCTGCAGGCACTTTGGCAAAGCAGAAACCATGGGAAGCCCAGGGCCCGTGGCGAGTGTGGCAATGCCAGAGCGTTTTCCAAGAGCAACACTGAGGGTTTGAGAGCTGAACTAACCCTTTGTGCTGAGCCAGGGTGTGTGAAAAACACAGGGGAACTCAGAATCAAACAAATAGGATAAGCATGTGCRAGAGGATCCAGCCTTGGAAGTCCCTCGTGATTTTTGGCACAGAACAGATYCTGATACTCAGCCTAATTACGAAAGGGCCCAGCGATCCCGAGGGACATGWGCAGACAGGCAGAACTCACATCTGAATCTCCCCACCCACCAAGCTGCAGGAACGCAGAGCAAAGCTCAGCTGCTGCAGGGGCACAAGGAAACAAGGCTGGGATCTGCACTGAGGCTTGGGTATTTGAAAATTCAGTTTTGGAAAGGAAACTCTCCCCTGGAGAGGGTTTGCTCCCTGCTGCAGCCTCGATGCTCGCACAGTGGGAATGGCTGTGCCAAGGAAAAATCGGCCTCCAGGAAGGCGAGGGAGTAAACACTGATTTATGTGGATGCTCCCTCATGTCAATGATGTTGTAGTGCAGCTTTATTATACTTAAACCTCTTTAAGTATTCATTGAGATCAGAGCCCATTTTGTCAGGCTGTTCTGACAGAGACTTTGAGTTGATGAGGCCAGAGAAGGGGYGGCTGGGGAAACTGAGGCATGGGCAGGGAATTTCCCAAAATGCTTTCCCAATGTTTTCCTGAAGCCTCATTGCCAGCACCCCAYGGGGCTCTCCATGGGGAAGGTGCTCATGGCTGGATGAGGGGAGCTGGTTTTATTTATCCTGTGCTTTCCCCTTAGGATGGGGACACCCAGACCCAGGAGTGGGGTGATGAGGAGGGCATCAAGCCTTCTGCTGCTGGCCCAGGGCAGGGACAGATCTGGTTTTGTTTGAAGGCAAATTCTGAGCGTGTCAGACCCACCAGGCTCATGGATCCTCTGGACTGCTTCTGGTCACAGAGCTTGACACTCTCACAGGGAAAAGATGTTTTTATCTTCCTATGCAAAACTGCTGGAGGTGGGAATAGAAAAAAAAACGAGGCAGGGGACCACAGGATGAGGCTGCCAGCAAACACATGTGCTGCATGTTGGGATGGAAATGGCTTTCTGCAAGTGTTTCCTAGGAGATCCTGCCAGAGATGAGTGCCCTTGTCCTAAAAAAGGGATGGAAAAAGCCCATAAAATGCAGTATCAAAGAGACATTAATGTTTTTTCATATAGCCTCTTCGGGTGCTTTTGAAGTGAAAATATTTATTTCTTATTCCCTTATTGGGAGAGACCTCTGTTCTATCCCATTTTCCTGCAGTTTTGCATTGGCCAGTCTGAGTGTTGAACCAGTGCAGATCAGGAGCGATACAACCAAGTCACGTGAGTTGTGCTGCTGGCATCAAATTGGGGTTAAAGTCTAGAGATTAGGACATTGGAAGTGCTCTCCTGCTTGGGGTGGGGGCTCTTCCATCATGGGATTTTCACAACATTCCGGCGTGGACACGAGGTCAAACTTCTGGGTGGAGCAGGTGGGCCAAAGCTGAGAATATTCAGTGGAAGGGCATTTGTCCCATCTCACCCACATCACAGGATTATTGGAAAATCCTCCCAGGGGACATTCAGCCACTTGAAGGAAGCAAGAAATCCTCAGGCTTTTTGGAAATCAACACAGCCCTTAGGCAGATTGTGAATTGTTCTGGAAAACAAATATCCTTGCATGGAAAAAAGCCAAATTAAATCTAAACTAAGGGCAAAAGAAATCCTTGCAGAGACCAGAGGAGTCAGTGGGTTCCAAGTCTTAGAGGGAACCTTTTGCATCTTGGCCACAACCAGTGCCAATGACAGCATCTTTCTGCTAATGAAAGGAAAGGGGATCACAGATGCAATGACACAAAATATTTCCAATCATTTGATCTAAGACTACAGCCTGTACTTTGTAAAAGATGGTCAAAGAAACCAAAAGAATATGAATATGCCTTATATGTAATTTTAGATCAATTCCTTTGATCCTTAGGTTAGAAATTTAAAGTTCCTTCCTTTCACAGCCAAAGCCCTGACTAAAGCCYCCAGGGAAATTTAAGAGATTAAGAAAACAACAATCTACTTCACATGGCAACCTGTCTGAAATGGTGACACACTGAGATGTTAATCCCAGTTAACTGAACCCATGAATGCAAAACCTTCCAGTTAAATTACCTGTGGGATAAAGAAAGAATTGCTTACCTGGTACRGTAAAAGAAACAGTAACAACTTGATGTGACTTTTGTGCTGGTACAGTGTGGCAGCTTTTCTGCAAACCTGTTGTTTCTTGACTTTAGAAAACTTTTGTCTTGTGGGATCCTCCTCTGTGGCCAGAGATTCTGTTATGGCATGTGTTGTGTCTTCTCATGGGAAAGAGTTTGCCTGGTTTGAAGGCAGGCCTGGAGAGGGGAAAAAAACATTATTGCCACCTGCTCCCGTCCTTTTCTCTTTTTAAACAAATATTTAAAATTCTTCGAGATCCTCAATAAAAGGGCCCAGCCCATGTTTGCAGGCTGGTTAACCTGTGCTACAGAAACAAGAGTGAACCCCTTGACAGCTGCACAGCACTAACTGGCTGCTTTTCTGCTCACACAGGMAAAATGAACATTCAGGAGTATTTTGGAAGAATATCCTACAACAAGCCCCACAAGGRTGCAGACTTGCAGACCTTGACAGCCATCTTCCAGCATCACATCCAGACCATTCCTTTTGAGAACCTCAGCATGCATTGCGGGGAGGCCATCGAGCTGGACTTGCAAGCTACTTACAACAAGATTGTGAGAAAGAAACGTGGTGGATGGTGCATGGAAATCAACCACCTCCTCTTTTGGGCCTTGCAAGAATTAGGGTTTGACGTGTGCATTCTGGGTGCACACAGCTATGATCCAGCAGAGAAGGGATACACTGCTCAGATAAACCACATCCTCCTGAAGGTGGTGATGGAGGGAGATTCCTACATCGTGGATGCTGGGTTTGGTGGTGCCTACCAGGCGTGGCAGCCACTGCTGCTGGTTTCTGGGAAGGACCAGCCCCAGGGCCCCGGCATTTTCCGCTTCACGGAAGACAGCGGCACCTGGTACTTTGAGAAAGTGAAAAGGAAGCATTACATTCCTGAGCAAAGGGATATTGATATCCCTGATACCCCAGGGAACATCAGGAAAATATACAGATTCACTCTSGAGCCGCGGCACATAGATGACTTCCAGGAGCTCAACGCGTACCTCCAAGTGTCTCCGGATAACATCCTGCGGAAGAAATCCATCTGCACTCTCCAGACCAGCAGTGGGCTCCTTGCCTTRGTTGGATGGACCTTGACTGAGATGAAGTACAGCTACAAGGAGGACACGGACCTGCTGAACATCACGACTCTGACAGATGAAGAGGTTGAGAAGACGCTGAAAGATAAATTCAGTATAGTCCTGGAGAACAAACTTGTACCAGTAAATGTTCGTGGCTTGCCACCCAACATAGTGGATCAGATCTAACTGCAACACTGTGCTAGACAGATCTTTAAAAAGGCAACAGAAAAGATCTAAAATTAACATTAATTACATTAATCTCATTTTTMACTTGAGCTAGTCACAAAGCTTGGTAAATTCCAGTACATTGCTAATTAACCACATATACGGATTGCGTATTACTAGCTCTGTTTTGATCATATGCAAATTGATTTTTGACTCCTTAACTTCTTGCTCACCTTCCCAAGAACTCATTTTATTGCAGATATGTTTTGTGGAAAATGAGACCAAAATGATACAGCAAGAGAGGTTGTGTTACCATTTTACCCAAAAGACCTCTAACCTTTTTGGCATTATTTCCAATCTTCTCAGTGGAGTTTTACAAATTAATCACTTCCCTTAACAGTCTTTAAGTTGACCTGAATTTGGCTTTAAATACTTTGTAGAAAAAAGAAAGGTTAAGACTTTTTCAAAACAAGCCACCATAAGGTGCTAATTAGCTTATGGAAAGTTGAAAGACTTAAGTTGTGTTCCCTTYCCAGAAATTGACTTAAAGTAAGATATTTATCCAAGGGCACCTTGGATCTCTAATTCTGAGTACCTGCTTTTTCTGAGTGTGATTTATCTGTGTTTCTGAATTCAAAATAAAGTCCATAGAAGATACTTCAGTAGTTTTTAAACATCAGGCTTTTAGTATCAAAACTGGAAAACAAATCAAAGTTTGATCAACCTTTGCAAATTATAATCTAAACTTTGGGACCCAGTCTTCATGTGACATCAAGAGGACATGATAGTATTATAGGTAAAACTTCATATTTACTACAAACWCCATTCTGCACAGAAGTTACCTTAAAAAGTGACACTGTGAATGCAAAAGRAAACACAGGGAAGTTGGGCCGTGCCACCAGTGTGGTTTCACAGTGTGATTTCCACAACACAGGAGCCTTTTACCTTGTGATGCCAGTGGTGCTGTACAGGATGTGCCATGAAAGAGGGGGACAGAAGAACATCAGTCTTCAGCCAAGGAAAAGACTCTGATGCTTGTTTTAGTCAAGCACACAGACCTGTGGGGCACCTGATGTGCCTAAAATGAAGGGGAGACATGTTTGACCAGGAGAGAATTAAATAAACAGTGCTGCAGTGCTTTGAGGATGCAGGAAGACAAGGTTTAGAACCGCATTACTTTATGCAAATAAATATTTGCCGTGGTGTTCATTAGGTGTGGCAGCTCCACAATAACTCCCTGCTGCAGCTTAGAAGTTGAACAGATTGAAAAAGTTCCTTTATGGGCAAAGAAGGGTGATTTGTGCATCCATGGAGCACAGGGACACACACCCTGGCTGCTCAGTGTACCCTCCAGGATGCAGATAGTCATCCTCCACCACCAAGTGCTGGTTTTCAAAATAGCAATATTTAATTTTAAAAWGTTACACCACCATTTGCAGCTGCCTACTGCAATTATTTTACATGGAAAAGAAGTTTGTTCTGATCTGAACCAGRGGAAGAGATAAACATCTACTAATAGAGAAGAAACAAAGTTTAATTTGCTCTCGGATCAGTGAAGTCCAAAAATGTGAATTCATTTTGGGTGGACTCTGCCCTTTCTTGGAATTTAAGATTCAGGAGCAAGGGCCATCAGAGCTTAGAAAGACAATCCTCAGTATCTGTATCCAGTCCTGGCTTCACTGACTGCTGTCCCTGWAATAAACCACCCAGAAACTGAATACCTCAATAAATAAAAAGGAATCTCCTAAGAGGTAAGTTTATTTTCTTAAAAAAAAAACCTCCAAAGAAAGATACAAAAATCCTGGTTTCTTTATGAAGGTAAAGGTCATGGACAATAACATAAGCAATGTTGCCTAGGAAAAATGTTCTAAAAATATGTGGATATAGAGCTAAAATATCACCTGCTAAACAGGGGCTCTTGAAGAGGGCAAAAAAGTGATATGCAATTTCAATTTTTCTACCTTTCACTCTTCAGAAGAAGCTTCACTTCACTGTGAGAGAGATTCTTTTGTTTAGATACAATAGTAGAYATAAATTTAGAACTGCAATTTCTTGTTGGAAATCATGCTTTTAGATTTTTTAATTTACTTAGAAGTATTGCAAGTGCAAAAGAAGCAAAAGTGCAGTCTAATAATCAATAGATTCTGCTTTATGGGAATAAAATTACAGCTCTTTAAAAACAACTTACAAACTGTGTATTGTACAACCCAGAAAGTCCATGTGCTGATGTATTAGGATAAAGGAAGACAAATAACATTTTTAACAGTGGAATTGCTAATACTGTGTTTAGTCCTGGTAAGGAATATTTTTGTGTTTAGCAGGTGATATTCATTTGCATCTTTAAAGTTCTTCTGCTGATGTTTTTCTCTGCATAAATCACARTCACATTTGTGGAACTACCTTTTCATCTGCTCTGCTCACGATTCAAAAGAACAGTAGCTTTCATCTCCTGCAGTCCAAATCTAATGCTGATCAAGCACATTATGGAGCTGCAGAAAGAAATTACAAATAATATAAGCTCAGGAACCAGTTTTATGCTGGTGTTGTCTATTTAACATTCAGAGAGATAGGATCGGACACACTCGGATTCTGCAAATGAGAAGTGCCATGAATTTTATATTATGCTTACCAAATATCACATTGAGAATATCATCCAACAATACACTCTAATATCACTGGAAGCTAAATTCCTCTCTCCAGCACATAATGTGTAGTTTTTGCTGGTGCTCTCTGTTCTCTTGRGGCAGCTGYCTCTATGCCCAGCATGAATCTGCCRCTGAGGATCACCTTGAGAAATTCTAGTTTGCAGTAAACATTCAACAGTTCACTGCTGAGTTTGAGGAGTGGTGAGTGTTGAGAAAGGTCAGKACTAGAGAGATGTAAAGCAGCCCCTGGCCATTTGCAGGGCACAGGAGGGAACGGAGATGTTGCTCCTTGTCTTTTAGGCCACTCACCTCCATCCAGATCCATATTCCAACACCAAAATGAGWTTCTACAACACTCAGAGCACACACAAGACTCAGTGGTCTGTGACTCTTTCAAAGGTCAGGATTTTTTCAGCTGTAATTATCTGAACACAACCTGACACTTTTACAAAACATGCAGGAGTATCCCGATAACGTTTTGTAAGCGATGGGAGAGCGATGTGTGCTGAGCGAACAATTCATTTGCTGTCACATCCATCAGTGGCAGACTCATGAAAAGAACATGTAAATCCTGGCTCAGACTATCCTCCCTCCCACTGGCAGRTGACACTGCTTCTCCCAGTGGCAATCCTGTCACTGAACAGTGGTTTTAGACCGTTTTTCATGAACCCTTGTRCACACTCCCCAGCATGATCTTATATTCCTTCTTAACCCTGCTGTTGCAATGCAAATACAGCAAATCCCCATCTCGCAGCCACCTCACATGAAACTGAAATGGCATCAGCTGTTTGCCAGAGGGATGACTCTAAGACAAAAGCAAACCCTCATGTGCACTGCTCTTTGCTCAGGGAGCCATTTGATAGGAATACCTGTTACCTTTAAAAGCTGCTCTGATGAGGTTCAGTAGATTAAAGAATCTTTGCTGGCAGAGCCAGGGCAGCTTTTCACAGCATCATAAATCACCGATGTACAGAAACCAAAACACAATTCCTTCCTTTACAGGTGAGATGAACCTTGAAGAGTATTTTGCAAGAACTGGCTATAAAGGCTCCACTGAAAAACAAGACTTGGAAACCTTAACCGATATATTCCAGCACCACATCCGTGCCGTTCCCTTCGAAAACCTCAGCATCCACTGCGGGGAGAAAATTACTCTGGAGCTGGAGCATGTTTACAACAAGATCGTGAGGAGGAAGCGGGGTGGCTGGTGCATGGAGAACAACCAGCTGCTGGGCTGGGTGCTGAAATGCCTGGGCTAYGACACCAGCTTCCTGGGAGCCTACGTGTTCAACCCCCACCAGAACGCCTATGCCACCCTYATGACCCACCTGGTGGTCAAGGTGGTCATTGATGGCCAAGCCTAYGTGGTGGATGGAGGCTTTGGGGTGTCCTACCAGATGTGGCAGCCCATGGAGCTCGTGTCAGGGAAAGASCAGCCCCAGGCTCCCGGCGTCTTCCGCTTCACGGAAAAGAACGGTGTCTGGTACCTGGAGAAAATGAGACGGAAACAGTACATCCCCAACCAGAGCTTCCTCAACTCTGACCTGCTGGAGAAAAAGGAGTGTCGGAAAGTTTATATGTTCAGCCTGGAGCCACGGACAGTGGAAGATTTCCGTTTCCAGTGCACGTACCTGCAGACCTCTCCGGATTCCCTCTTCACAAAGAAGTCCATCTGCACCCTCCAGACCACGGATGGATTCCGAGCACTGATTGGGTGGACGCTCACTGAGACCACGTACAACTACAAGGAAAACATGGATCTGGTGGAATTTGTAACTCTTGAAGATGAAGAGGTGGAAAAAACCCTCAAAGAGAAATTCAACATCACCCTAGAGAGAAAACTTGTCCCCATTAATGTTAAAGGATCTTACACAATCTAGATGAGCAATGCTACGTGTGTACAGCACTTTCCATTGTCTGTGCAATCCTCTACTGCAATGTTATGGGGTTCTTTTGCAGGTGACTGAAGGATATATACATTAATATGAGATTAAAGTGAATTTCACTTTGGGAAAAATCACGAATTTAAGACTCTTGAGTCAGTTAAGTAAAATTATTTGCTGTGAGATGACTGCCGTTCAATTTTTGGCACAAATGTAGGATTTGATTTGAATCTGGTTATAAGAAATACGTCTGGGGAATTTTGGACTGCCTGTAGCACATAAATAGGAGTATGGATTATTAATTGTGATATGCTGCCAACACATTTTCAAAGGTTATTACAGGGAGACAAGTCATCTGTGGGCATTTAGACAATGAAGTACACATTTAAAACTTCATTTTTCACAAGATCCAGCCACTCACAGCTCATCTCATTCCTCTACCCTTAAYATAAGTGAAACTATGTCATCTTGGAAAAGAGCATTAGGAGGCATAATTCTTTCACCATCATCCTTAGACAAACCATAGTACAAAATGAAAATTATCATCATGTGCATCCCTCTGGCCATTACTGCAGAAAACTGCCCCAAGTAATTTTTGGTATGTACCTATTCTTCTGGTGATGAAAATTCTATATATTGCAGTGTTATTGTGGCTGATGGGCTCTGAGGAGATAACTGCTAAGCTTTGTTTCTGAGATGCAATCATCCTCTAAACTGTGACTGGTGCTTAAATGTCACAGCTGGCTTAGATTTACTTTTGTCCCAAAAKGGATGGTAATTCTGTATTTTTAGCATTGCATTATATTCTTGTATGAAGCTAACCCTAATGTACCCTTAATTCTGTCCTCTTTGTGGACAGCAAACATGAGGGTCCACATGGCTGTCCCAAATGGGRACACTTAGCACAGAAGCTTTAATGTCATTACTGTTTGTTCATCTTTATCAAAGAAAAAACAGCCCAGGGAGCCAGCCAAATCTAAAGGAAACCTTTTCTTTTATTTCACAATCACATTTCCCCATTTTTTAAAAAACACTGTTCCTCCTACCATGCTTCTCTGCAAAAAGCTCAACCAAGGAAACCACTAAGAAAGGGGAAACATTCTTAAATGCAGCAAAAAATAGCAGGAACACTGAAAAACACTCTTTCTCCCTGGTCTGTGATCAGCCTGAGTATTGGTCAAATGGTGATTCCTCCCACTGATAGTGTATTTTTGCTCAAAGACATCATCTGTTAATTAATCTCACAAATGGTCTAACTGTATACCTGAAAATAAATAAAAGGAAAATATTATGATATTTTGAGTTGTTTTAGGTACAGCTGCCCCCAGCTGCACTGCACTCCCCATCTGCCAAATGAGGGCTGTTCCCTCGTGCTACTGATCTGCTGGCCAACCCTTCCCACCTCAGACTTCTTAGGATCATAGGATCTTCGAGGCTGGAAAAGCCCTTTAAGATCATGGAGTTCAACAATCAACCCAGCACCATGCTCACCATGACACCATGTCCCCAAGTGCCACTTCCAGGGATGGTGACTCCACCACTTCCCTTGGCAGTCTTCCAATCCTTAACAACCCTGCAGAAAAAACATTCCTAATATCTAATCTAAACCTTCTCTGGCATAATTGGGGGCCATTTCCTTTCGTCCAGTCACTTGTTAGCTATTCCTTGTTACCTGTTTACTGTCACTTCTTGAACTGAACAGGCCACTATTGAACAAATGCGAGAGTGGGGTTGGAGATGGYGAGTTCCTACAGGTACCTGGATGAAGAGCTCGTAGGCTGAGGCAGATGACCACTGAAGAGGAGGCTCAGGAGTCATCTCTGCTGGGCCTGGCAGCCACTAGCTCTGGGCTGGTCATGGTGTGTGCCAGCTCTTTGTGTGACTGGCCCTGGTGGCAGCTCRTGACCTGGGTGCACAGAGTTGCACAGGGATGTGGAACTGAGAGCCAAGCAAGAGGTGACAGGGGACACACAAAGATCCTACTGAGGTCAGAACACAGCTTTTCTATTAATAATGGAATTTGTTTGGTAATTTGTGTTCATGTTATTCATTCATATTAATGTCCCCTTAAGGGCTTTTACTCCTTTCTAAATGATTGATCATGACAAGGTGTTCCCYGAGACCTCAGGGGTCATTACAAGCTTCAAAACACTCACCACCTCCATTCTATCCGATGGGATTTCTGTGTTCATTCACCCAGCTCGCCAAACCACATTTCTCTGTGCCATCAATCACAGCTGTTTTCTTGTCTTGAGGACAGCCACTAACAGGATGGTTGTTTTGCCTTCTAACTTCCCTGGAGATATTCCTGCTGTTKATCCCAGATAATTGCTTAGGATATGGTATGCAAGGGTTTCTTGGGCAGTCCTGGGCCCCTATCAGCATTTAACTGGACCTGCAGTGATGGGGCTCACCCAGCTCCCTACTCCTTCCACTACTTGTTTTTTATCAAAGATCTACGGAGCAGCCACTGATTGAGGCTTCAGCGATCCCCCCAACTCCCATCTGTTAATAACCATTCTCTAAGGGGGATTCTTCATCTTCATATGATAATTATAAGCAGGTCCTCACTGTACAATGGGAAATCACACAAAGAAATGTCAACACATACACAGTTTCACAGTTTCAACAAAAGCTCCCCAAAAGCTGATGAAAGCACGTTATTGAGGAGTGAATGCCAGCCCAAAATGCCTCAGAGGTTTGAGGTGAAAATGGTGTAAAACCAAACAAAACCAAACAAACCCCGAGGCCTCATGCTGGGGTTCCATTTGCAAGGCTTTATTGTAGAAGCTGATGTCCTCCCAGCCTGAAAAGAAAAACAAACCATAGAGTCCTTAAAGCATCAGCTCTCACAGAAACTTGAATTCACATGCGGAAGGGAACTGTGGGATGTCTGACATCCTTCCCCACCACGATGCTTTATTAGCACTCTCTGAGAAAGGCTTAATGAGAGCCTAAGCAATTTTGCAGTTTTGGTTGTGGACTGTTGTTCAAATGAAGCAAAACAAATGCTTAGAAACCACCCCCCTCTGTCCCTAGACTCATCTAATTCCAAATACAATTTAAAAGTATGGTATTCCAATCAAGAGAAAGACAAGACAATTTCTTTTAAAGTCTGAATGCTGGATGAAGTCCCAGAATCCCAGCCCAGCTGCCCATTATACCCACAGGCAATGCACAGCCACCCGTGGCTGTGTCTGATTAGAGGGTCTGATTAGAGAAYGAGACACAGAAGCCAAGAAACACGGTTCAAACTCCACGGCACCACTGCACATCCTGCCCCTCCCCAAGAACCAAAGTTTAATCAGCTCAAGCATTACTAAAGGGAGAACACTGGATGGCTCACTTCAGCTGGACTCTGCTCCTGGACTTTTTAAGATCTAGTACTAAGCAGAATAGAAGTAAAAGAGAAACATCAGCAAGAAAGATGAAGCTGTTCAGTACTTCCATGTTTTCGACCCCAGCAGTTATTACACAATAAGCACCATCAGCCTGACAAAGGGAGGRACCAACCTTCACATGACAAAGGACATGACACAAAACACCGTGAGCTGTCAATGAGCACCAACTACAGCCACACTTCAGGCACCTCAGGGGCACGGGCACAAACACAAACACTTGTGGTGTCTGCTAGCACTTTACCTGTACATTTTGCAGCAGCCATTTTCTGAAATAAAACCACTACTTACACAACTTGCTTCTGTTTTCAAAGAAGAAACACTTTTCATTTAGAAACATGAGCACATGGGAAAGTCCTACAGCTTAGGAACTTGCAYATAAAATGCACTGGAGTCTGTGTCAGAGCCAAGAAAGCCTGAGTTCATGCACGTTTGCTTCCTGAGTATTTCACTGCTATGCTTACATCTCTGTCAAGAGTAGTTCAAGCASAGATTTTATGCAGCAGGAATGTTTCTACCTCAGGTAGGAAGCTCGAGTCAGACTTACATCCATACATATATGCATGTATTTATACCACTGGAAATGTAGACAGATATTTCAGAAGATCCCACCATAATRTGTCTGCTTGTAACTCTGTACTTAAAAGTACATTTTAAAAGTCACACAAGAGTGAGTTTTGCTTTTGTCTTGCTCACAAAAACACACTATGGATGGTGCTTTTAAAGGCACATTTTGCAAACTCYTCATGAATAAAAGATTGTGCTAAAAATGAGCAGCTGGTCTTACTGCAGCACTGAGCCGCCAGCTGAATGTGAACAGCAAAGCCCCCAGATTTAAAGACAATAAATGAAAGTCTACCTTTCCTTCACAGTTGGTGTTGGGCATGTTTAGGACACAAAACTCCCCTTCCTCTGTCCCAGTATCATGGATTTTCTAGGGAGCTCTTTAGCTTCTCATGTGCTTACCTGTGCACCATGCAACTCACACTTCCAGCTATCCCTCAGGAAACGGCATGAAATTACAGAGCAACAYATGGCAAAATGCCCTTTAACTGATCAGAATTACCCCTCACTGCACTGGACAGAACTCTGCAATGCAGGAGAGTTCTCTGCAGAACCCTGACAAAGGAAGACTCCACATGGAATTCATCTGAGCCATTGCTGATACCAAAATAACCCAAAAGCTTCTTCACAGGGCACCACTGGAAGCTTCCCCAATCCATGATCCCTCGGGACATGCACTTGCAGTGACACCTCCTGGTTGCTGGTGATTCACCATAACACACTTCAACCCTCAACTATTCAGCACAGCTGTTAAGAAATTCACTCTCCATTCAAGAAATGTGTTCAGAGGGAGAGGAATGATRTTCCTACTAATAAGCAAGAAAGAATAATGGGATATATTCCAAGTTTTTCTTGTGATGACCAACAATAAATCATTTCTTAGCTCAGGTCACATCTTCCATGGGAAGAAAAATGTCTTGCCATCATTAACTTCTTTTCAGCTAGCAGTAATATATGATCAGGTTTTAAGTAATTGAACCAGTAGCATTTAATTAGCTCTGAAAAACTATCTCAGATCATGAATCACAGCCTTTCCACCTGCACTAAGTCCCCTTACTAGGTTAAAAGTATATTTCTCTTTCCATGTGTGATCCATCTTGAATATCTAATTAGGTGCTCCTGATATGTGGATTATAGTTCATATATCACATGCAAAATACAGCAGACACAGCATGTCCTTCTTTAAATAATTGAGTTTCACGTCTTGCTTCACTGAGCTGTTAAAAAAAGCCTCGTGTCCATGGCAGAATGACCACTCCTCACTTCAAATTCTTCTTTCTCCAGAGAGCCAGCATTAAGGATGCGTAACTTGGACATCCTGAGGAAATGGAGAAATAGCAATATTTCTTGTTGAAAGGCCATACACAGAGAAATGCTATGATTCTAGACAGGACCCACTGAAATTTTTCAAGAAGCCCAGAGCACTGACTGACCAAAGAGAATGGTGTTTCCATCCTAAAACTGCTTCAGATGGCTTCATCACATGCTAAATAAACCACTGCACTCAGCATATGTTGGGGGACATCTGTGGCCAGCACAAAACAGGATCAATCCTTGTATTAGGCTGTATTTAAGCATAATTTTTTTACATTAAATAAGCTAATCCACAACCATTAACCACAAAACCCCACAGTTTTTATTCAGCTTTCAAGTGTGTTTCTGAAACTGTTATTATGCTTTTATGACAAGACTTACATAATTATAAGATTGGAWTTTTTTTTGCTGAAAAAGAGGCAAAATTAGCAAACTTCTTTTGGAACGCAGAAACTAAGACTCACAATCTGCTCAGATGTCAAACTGTAAACGTCGCCCAATATTTGGCTTGCTGTATAAAAAAAAAGTTTCACTACAAAATCCTCTATTTTTAAATAAACTTTATAAAAAATAAAATTCAATAAAGTGGATTTTATATCTCTGTTCTTCTCCCATATTATTTTTAGCACAGTAAAAAAGGCCACAAACCAAGTATGTTTCTGTTGACTTTTTTCAATTTGAAGAGAGCACAGGTTTCATTTTCATAATAAAGCAAGCAGTAAAAGCTGAACTGCCTTACTGAATTGGACACAGTTCATCTTTACTCCAAATACTTCTTTCAGATGTCATTCTAAACTGTAAATATTGTTGCTTTTGACTGCATGCAGCACTGGATTTAATTATGCACAATATTAAAAGATGATGAGTGAGATGACTGATGGGATGAGTGCTGCACTCATGAAAAGCTGCTGAGAGAGGAAAGGATGTACAACATCCATTATATACACACCCACTTTGAAAAAGGTCTSTCCTGTGGATGGTAAAAATTTCAATGAGAATAGAACAGATTTGCAAATCCACCCTTCACATTAAATAGCAAAAACTCAAACAATCTCCAGTTCATGGTACTCTGRTAGGCATTAGGTAACAAGCTCCACTTGTGCAGTTGTCATTAATCCTGAGGTTTTAAAAACATTTTCTTAGCTCTTTTACTAGGTCTTGTGTTACTATTCCCTTCTTCGATTTCATCATCTTCATCATCATCATCATCATCCTTGAGCACACATTGGTCTCTTTTTCTCAGAAATTTCTTTCCTATTGTTCCCACTAGTGTTTCGTATCTATGGAGAGAATAAAAAAATTTACACCTTTTACTAAAATCAGAGAAAAAATTGTGGAGCAAATTATAAATTTAATCAAGAATTTAAATGGTGTAAAAAACCTGGTCATTAAAAGCTTGGAGAAGCACAAGTACTACATGATTTATTACATTATTACTCATTCTGATAGTCTGAACTTGTTAGCAACTGGTAACAAGGAGGGAATTAGCATGGAATAGCAGGATATCAAAGAGCAGAAAACCCCTACAAGTTATTTTACCCCCCAAAGTGATGGAGATTTCAGTGAATATACACCAGCWCTCCAGGAAAATCAATCTGGTATAGTACCGTATCTGTTGTGGGCTTTTTTTGTTTCATTTTGTTTGTTTCCTTGCTGGGTTTTATGTCCCCACACATAATACAGTAACCTTTCATTTTCCTAGCTATATTGATCAAGTCATAACATGTAACTTACCTTCTGGCCATTTCTTCATCWGACACATCAGCCTCCATTTTATCATCCTCTTCAATTTCTTCTTCCTTGCACTTAGAATTCATTTGGATCATTAACTTCTGAAAATGAAGTAAGAAACAGCTTAAACATGYAAACATGACACAATGGCAACAATGCTGAAATTCACTGTAGAASAGCATAAAAATTAAGAATAAAATTTAATAATTATTTGTTGTTCCCACTTAGGCTAGAGCCAACATTATGAAAACTCATGAAAAAAAGGCAACATGTCTGTCTGTTGCTAAGCTGAGCTTAGAGTTTGCCTTTARGAAAAGAGGCAACACAGAGACAATGTTTTCAGTGTGTTGTGCTAATTAAACATCCTAAAGGGCACTCCAAACATCTTCAAGAGACCAGAGAGTTAGATCATAATTAATTTATCATCGTGTTGTTAGCACAGAGACCTTGAAATGGTTTTGTTAAGAAGGAAGAATATGATAAGGATTTACAGTAAAATCTTTGAAGCAATCATATGCTGAGTCACATGGAAAGCAAGTTCAAAATAACTAAAGAATCCACTAGTAAATCACCTTGCATAGCCTTCTGCAAATCTCTTAAGTATTTWCACCTTCATCCTCCTGCTTCAGGTCAGTGGTAGCCTTTTTRTTTATTATTTTATCCTGTGCCTGTGTARTAATCAGCATGAASCATGCCAGGAAGAAAYTGAAGACTCTCTTGACCAGCRTTTTTACTTGGGRACTCTAAACCCTTACTTACCCAAGWAAGTGCKGAATAAATWGGGTTGAATGTTTGTAGACTGGACTCTACATTAAATGTCAGGAGGGAAAGTGAGCTTTTGTTTTGGTGAGCAGCATGTGGGATGGTTTCCTCACTTCAGGGATTGAAAATCTGCAGGAGTCATGCAATTACTGACCATCAACTCTGGGAGGTTAAAAGCTTCTGTTCAACAGATGCTGCACTGATCAACATTTAGGGTTGGATGATGTACATAGGAGGGTTTATGGAGGGTGCTGCAAAGGTCAAATCAGGATGCAGTGTGAACACTCAAATCCCCATCCCCAAGGGCTTCAATGCTAATGTGAGGCCACCTCAAACCAGGACATTGCAATGGTACCTCAATTTCTGGATTGAATCCTTTGAAGGACATTCTGCCATAGACGAGATCCTCACATAGCAGAAAGCTTCTCTCTTCTATTATACAGCTCCTGCATGAAACCCCAAATCCAGCATTTTGTCAAACCGTGCACTTTCAAATAATCAAATTAAACAAATGCAAAAAGGATTTGCTTTCGTCCCCCTACACAAATAAATAAAGCTACAGTGTATTTTAAACCATCAACTACTTTCTGCTTAATTGCTCTGATAAATCTTTCAGTACAAGGAGCTTGGAGTACAAAGGAATACTTTTTGCCAATAAAGCTGTGCCAGTTCCAGAAGCAAAATTAACTCTCCTGACAAAAAGCACTCTTTGCTGGTATGATTCCACCTACATTAATACTTTTGCCAGAATAAAAATACCACATAAATATCACTCCCCAGGTGGCACTACTACACCAGCAAAAGCTTCTAATTAATTTTTCATTGTGCTGTTAGACCTGGCATTAGTTGAGTCTGTCAGAATATGAAACACTGTGTCATTCTCCCTTCAGCAGAGACAGATTTCCCTCTTCTCCCTCCTTTTTTTCCCCTCATTTAATGAGCATGGAGCGAGAAAAGAAACATGACCCTGAGGCATTTATAATACACGTGTCAGATGAAAGTACTTCCGTGGATTGTTCCATCCTTTTCCTCACACACATGTACCTCTTCCCTCATCCTCTTCATCTCCCATGTAAAACAAACTCTCATGATCACAGGAACTTGGGCTGAAGAGATTAAGTTCATTGTCCTGCCTCAAGGCAGTATCAGTTACACACGTGCCATGAACAGCAGAGGTCCAGCCAACCTGTCCTCAAAAGACTTCCAATGATGAAGAATCCASTGTCTCCTCAGGCAATCTACTCTAGTAGAGCTTCAATAGCCTTATTGTTACAAAAATTCTCCTAATGTCCAGCTTGAACATTCCTTGCTGCAACTGAAGCTCAAATACCTTTTTGTCATATCCACCAAYAGGAATGGAAAAGAGTTTATCAATGGCCTTATTCAACTCCAGTTAATTCCTTGGGTCCCAGCTTTATCAAAATTATGTATGTTCTCCCTCAATGGATTTTTTTTCCACTTTTGAAAGGATGAAACCCAAGCAGTTTCAAAAGTAGCTCTCCCACTATTTAAAGCACCTTTCTAAAGAGCAGGACACTTTCTTCCTTATTAGCTAAGCCTTCCTTTATTTTTGCCATTATCTCTCCTATTCCAAAACCAGGATTTGAAGTGAGCTGGACACAAGAGAACAGAACTGTCCTGAATCAACTTAACCATGTGACTGGAGCTGAAACTACTAACACAAGATTTCAAACTTCTTTTTTCAAATGAAGGGGAAAAGCAGTAATGAATGAATTGGACCCTGTCTGAAAGACACTAATTACATGCATCTAGAAGAATGTGTGAGTGAAAGAAAGCAACACACACAAGAATTGAAAGTAGGTCAAACTACACTAGGCAACCTCAAGAACAGCCCTAAAAATAAGTAATAAAAAAAAGTTGTAATGACAGTCTCTCACTATTTTTGCTTCTGTTAACTTGTTATTTATAATACTTATATGAAAAAAATATGAATATGCTATTTCCATTTCAAAACAATCCAATAATGATAAGAAGTACAAAAGATTACAAGCTTACTCTTTTTTCTTTAGATCTGGTACATCAAGATACCAGTGTTCTTCACTAATTATCTTCTTTTCTTCTTCTTCCAGTTGTTTTTTAGTTTGTGAATCCAAGCCCCTTTGCATAAACTACAAAGAAAGACAAATACACAACTTCAGTTTTTTGCATTGTGAGTACCTTCTGAACATGCAATAATTACATGATGGCAATTATCCAGTACATGATGTTTAGCAGTTGGTAAAAGGTAAATGCTTTTTGTGATTTTTTGCTCCGAGTTTGGTCAAAGTTTGGGCAAACAGACAATGGAAGATTGAAACAGCTGCTGATCACGACTGTACTTACATATAAAGAAACAGACCTCTCCTGGCTCGTTTTGATGGATTGCAGTTGTCACAATTCCCTAACTTTGCTACAGTTTTTCTAATGTTTCAATAAAGGCCAGAGAGAAGGTAATGGTGTTGAAGTTATTGCTGCACATCAGGAACCAAGTCCACACGTACAAACAGCACTGGAGCTCAGAGCTAGAGGTGGGTCACACTAGGCTGGCTATTTTTTAAACATCTATACTTTSAACCATCCTCTTCCTTTCTCAGATTTAATGAACTGGATTGTGTTGTAGCTCTGAAGGTGCAAACCTGCCTTTGGAAGTGGAAAAAGGCAAAACTTTGAAACCAGACTATGAAGAAAAGGCTTCTGTATCCAGCTGTGCTAAAGGAAGATGTTCCCAGCTCTTCAGTTCTCACTGCTGACCCACCCAAGCACCAGTCCAGCAGAGTATTTAAGCACCTGTTAACTCACTGCAAGAACTCACTGCCAAAATAGCTGAGACCAATAATTAAGTTTAGGGCAAGACTGCTATTTTTTCCTAATACAAGGACACTCCTGTCACTTGCTTCTTCGGTGATAACCTCTGTCAGAGGATGGGAACAGGCAGGTAGGAGCAGTAACCTCTCAACAGCTGGGAGGAGAAGAAGACATCTGTCAYGGCCTATAAATAATTGCTGAGAGCACAGAACTACAGACCCGAGGCCTGTGAAACAGCACTTTAATTTCCCTTTGTCTCAAGTCAGGTGTCTGAACTGAGTGACAATTAAGTCTCAACAATGTCAATGGAATATGCTGGAAAAAAACAGAATCCTTCATAATTTTATGCTAACAATCTGTACAGTCCCACCCTCCTAGAAGTTGGGATCTTCCTTAGGATTTACAGGAAGTATTTGAATAACTATCTGTCAGAGTTCTACATTYATACCAACCTAACTCCCAGACACAGCAACTTTAGCAGCACAGTCTACACACAGTCGTGTAAAAATATATAGGTAATACAGACGTGTAATGTATGTATTATAAACAACCCACACATCTTTTCAATCTTTACAAAATGTCCAACCAAACCAAACKCAGATTTACAAGCCAATAGAGCCAGTGTCTCATTTTCCATTTCCATTTCTATTTGCATCCACGGTACGAGGTCCTTAATGAAAGAAAAATTGACTTCTGTTTTCTGAGTCGATTCAAAATATGTCAAAGCTTTCCAATTAAAATTACAGTATCTTCTTGAGGAAAATAAGTGAATCTATCATGTGGAAAAACATATTGCTCAAGGAAATTGGTTAGCCAGTCAGAAATCTAAACACAAGAAATTCTGCTACAAGAACCCAATTAAATAATCATTTCACACTCCATTTTAAAGATTATGTTCCTAAAGATTACGACAGGAAAAACCTAGATAAAAATTATGTGATCAGGTTTATCTCAAATGTAAACACACACTAATGAATTAAAAATATACCCATTGTGGTAGAAGATAGAGAATATATAAGTGGGAAACTGAGGGGTTGTTTGGGTAATTTTCCCCAAGAAATGGGATCAAATGGTTCACGATCTCAAACTTTGTGTCACCCTCATGTGGTGAGTCCATGTCAGCCAGTGTTTAGTGCAAATGGTCCTTCCAACCCACCAACCTCACATCACCTCTGGGTGCCACTTCACCCACCTGCTGAATTCTGCAAATACACTGGATCACTACCTGCARAGGCAGCTGCTAAAGGCTTAATAAAAACATTCGTAAACAAGAAGATCTGCAGAAACAAAGTGCTAAATGCAAGATCTGTCTATGACCTTTTCAAAACCTACTGATCTCTTCAAAGCTGGTTATTACTGCCTGGACTGTGAACCTGCAAATGTCACAGCAGCATATTCACATGGCTGGTTCTCCATGGCCTTCTGCAGAAAAAAAAACATCTAAAAACCTGTTTTTGAAATCTCCAAGGGGTTAGTAAACTGGCAAACAATGAGAAATTTCACTTTAAAAGTGTGTTATATAAAAATAAGGAAAAATAATGATGCTGCCATCCAGGTTATGGGAGTCTGACTGTGTCACACACTGCTGGCTGACTCAGTTAAACACCTACTCCCTTTGGAGAGAAGGCAAGATGTATTTTGCTCCTTCGCTGTACAAGTTTTAGATTTAGCAGCATCTGTTAATTAGGGTAAATATTCCATCAYCCAACCGTAGCAGAATGCACTTTAAGTGAAAAATTAAACTGAAGTCAGCTAACTCTTTTCAGACAGAATGTGAAATATAGCCCCTTATAAATATGTGGTGGAAAAAAATGGCTAAATAAAACACCACAAGCAAGAAGCCACAAAGGCCTCATCATACTCAGTTAAAAAAACTGAATGGATATTAACATTAAAAAAAAAAGGGGAACTCAACTTTTCCTGGTTGTTTTCCAGCAATAAGGGATCATCAATCAGAGGAGAACTTACTCTACTGAATTAGAAGTTGTAGTACACGGTGTGAAGCAGAATCCATTAGCCAGTAAGCAGAGACTMATTTCACACTGGTGACACGAGATTCACAGTTCCAAGGATAACAGGCACATGGGGATGTTACTAAGAACCCTGGCATTTATGAGTTGGGAAAAGTGGCTAATATCGGGTATTAATTCACATTCAGGCTGGGGATTCCCTCAGCCAGCAATGTAAACAGGGGTAAAAATGGACACGCCAAAACCGAAACTTCACCCCCCAATACTAAAAGCTCAACCCCCAAGTAAAGCAAGCAGGATTGATATTTTCATTTCAGTGTGGTGGTGATGGGAAATATTTTAATTTAAATCCACAATAACCCAGCTGCAGCGGAGCGAGGTGGAACTAAAGCACAGTGCACTCCCAAAACGTGCACTGGAGCGGGCTCTTGAGGCTACACTTTTGCCGGAATCCTGAAGTTGCTCTCCTGCACGAAACTCTGCAGTTTGTAACCCCGAGCCCACTCGCAGGTTCAAGCAGTTGAAACCCTGCAGTTTGTAACCCCGAGCCCACACGCAGGTTCAACATCGGCAGCAGCGATGTTTTGCCGGGCCCGAGAGGGCCGGGGAGCCGAGCATGGCTGAACACATCAGAGCGTGGCGTGGGTGGGGAGAGCCAGGGCACACCGAGGGCCGCCCGTCAGCCGGGGCTGGCGATGAGCACGGCAATGCCGGCTCCGGCAATGCCGCGTGTGGCCGGGAACACTCCTATCCCCTCCCGTCCCGTCCCGATTTTGGCTCACAGCGCGGGGCCCGCCCGCCATCGCTGAGGCCACGGCCCGGCCCTGCCCTGCCGCCCCGGGTGCCGCCGCTTCCAGCCCCGCGCAGGCCTCAGGCGCCCACTCCCCAACTTCCCCCTCACCTTCATGCGCAGCAGGTTCTTGGACAGCTTGGATTTCACCTCCCCGGCCATGGCGGCCCGCAGGCCGCGGCGGATCCCCGCGCTCGCGTAGCGCCGAGGCCGCGCAGGCGGCGGGAGGAGCGGGAGGAGCGGGCGGAGGCGGCGGCGCGGCTCCACCCTCCGGCCGGGGGCGGCCCAGCACCCTGCCCACAGCCGCGGGAGCCGCCGGCGGTGCACCGGAGACGCAAAACCGGCGATAAATATAACAACTTTATGGCTGTGTGGGGTGAGGGAGATCGGGGGTGTGAGCAGGACATAAATCCGSCTCGGTGTGAAATGGTAAATCAGCAGGGGAACCTGAGATGCCTCCGTGATGCTTTTGCGTTGTGCAGCTGGATTACGGTTTCATCCATAATTTCTGATTTTTCAAAGGAGAAGGAAAGAAATTATAAAATATCTCTCACCCTGACATTTAGAGACCACTTGGCTTGTTTTTATTTTTTTTAACAGTCAGACTGACTTTTACTTGCAGAAAAAATGGTCAAACATAACTAAAACTGGAAAGCATGCAAATTCAAAGATATTACAAAAGGCCTCAAAGCTTTGTTAGTCCTGAATCGTGTTTTGTGAATTCAATATTGGCAGCACTGTTGTTGGACTGCCGTGCTGGGCACTGGGAACCGAGAAAGAAATCCTGATAGGAAATTGCCAGCTGACTCCCAGTCACAAGCAAGTACCACAATTTCTCTATATATCCTCATAAATCAGATTTCTGATGCCTGTTTTGACATTTGGCACATAAACTGGGTGATAAAGCAATAAGAGTGAGCGTTCAGTGTTCAAAACTTTAATGAACTGGTGTGCTCCAAAAGACAATTTAGGGAGAAAAGTTCCCGTATATGYAAGATGTAGGTCAAAGCTTGAAGAACTCTGTAAAGATTTATGCTCTAATAGACTCCACAGAAAGGTATAATGAAGGACAAAACCTGATTGCAGTGGGAAAGGAGGAAGAATTATCCACATCCAGGCATCCTTATTACACTTTTAAGCTCAGTGGACTAAAATGACCACAAATGTCAATGAAACATGGAGCCACAAATGCTTCAAGGCAAAGTCATAACACTGCATGGAAATGTTTAATTTTCATATAGGGAAGGCACCTTCATTGCCAGGCTCTGTAAATGAGTTGAAGCTGCTCTGAAGTTCAAGGCCCCAGTGAGAAAGTCACATTGTGAGTGTGGCAGTGATCCTGCTCTGTTCCCTTTCTCATTAACAGCTATCAYCCCTTCCCAACAAAAGAAGGCTGGGGAGAAATTGGCCGTTTTCTGAATACAAATGTTCATCAAAGAATGAGTATGTTTTAATCTTRGTGGACAAACCAATAGGGGAAAGCTGTTAATTAATATAATGGCGCAGTACAGTCAGAATCAGTCAATTTTTGGCGTTATGTTCTATTTGCCATGCGTTCTAACAGTGCATTTGCTTTTTGTTGATCATTGCAAATCAGAGCCCTGTGTTTAATTGCATGGYCCTCAATGTCACTCACGGCTTTTCTGAGCAGTTTCAGTTCATTTGCAGTCCACGAATGTACTTTGAATGATTTCTTCTAAATACTGTGCTCTCCTCAGCACTTCTGCAGCTACTGAGCTGTGATAGTGCCCAGATTTGCTTGGTGGCCYTTGCAAGAGCTGCTTCTGCCTCTCCATCCTGCAGAAAATCCCAGCTCAACAATTCCTCAGCAGACTCAGCTTGCAGCCTGTTTGGGTTTTGGGCACTGCCCAGATCAGCTCCCTGGTACCTTTCATGGGAAGGAGCATCCTGGCCCCAACGCTTTGGGAGCTGCATCTAATAATTTACACTACCCTGCAGTGTCTAACTGGGATGGGGAGAGTGCAAGGCGTTTTCAATTTCTCTAACCATGAAGATAATTCCCTGTGCTCCCTGGTCCCCACTGCACCCTGTGTCTTGGTGCTGCACCCCAGGCTTGCACGGAGTTGCTGCCACAGTTTGTTGAGACATCAGCTAAAACCCTGCCTGGATACGGGCAGGGAGAAGCATTTTGCAGTRAAAGCAGTATAGGTTCTGTGATGTTTATTTAGAAAAGTGGAGATTGTAAAAAGGCTGCCACAGAATGTGATCTATTTTGGCAGTAAAAAAGTCCGAAGGAAATTTTTAGGTTACATCTCCCATCACTTGAATTGGATAGGGAGGCTGTAGATAACAATCAGYTGCCTTGTGGACCAGATTATACTGTCTGGTAAATCTGAAGACACTCCATTGATTGCAGGAGAAATTTTTATGATTTACTGGTGGTGATGGAGGCAACTCAGAGAAGAATCCAGCCCTGTAAATAYGCCTGCTTGTGGAGTGGAGCGAGGGTGAGGGAAGCTAGGAGAGAAAAAGAATCTCTCCATGTTTAGAGAAGAATCAAGGGTCACTGTAAATGACAATTAGATGGCTCTTGCATGGCTCTGACTGTCCATTTTCAACCCAAAAATCCATTTCTTTTTCAAAACAAAAATACTCAGGAATAACTCAAGGAAAAGGTGCTCCATCTCATCAAAGATTGTACATTAAACAGGCAGATAAAAGATTTTTTCTTCCTTGGAAATGTGGTCCCTTCTCCCCCTAGTAATTACAGGAGTCAAATCAAAGTTGTCATTAACATTATTTAATTGCTCTTTGAGCAATACATGTGGCAGCTGTGCAGTAATTTCACACCAATGGGATCTAATTTGAGGGAACTCGTGGCTTCCCCTTCCCATAACCCTTTATTTATTCATATTCTCGTAGTAGTATGATATTAGTGCAAAATAGGTATCTCAAACCTTRCAGCAACCTATCAGTTTATTTGATTTCTTGTGAGCTGTCTTYGWATTCCAAAGCAGCTTTTTACAGCYTTCAGAATACCTGAAGCCTTTTTCYCCCCTTTGCAAATATCAAAATTCTTATAGTATGACAGGTGAGTCATTAATTTGTGTCAAACTCCTCCGCTGTGTTTTAACTAAGGATATTACGTGTTTTTCTCTATGAAAGAGGCAAAGAGAATGAGAAGTGGAGCTGCCGGAGGTCTGTTTGCAAACCTGAAAGGAAGGTGTGAAGTGCTGCGTGCGACTGGGCGGGATCAGAGGAGCAGTTTTGTACCCTGTGCTCCCTGCAGAGCGAGAATTAAACCATCGGAGTGGTGGAGGTGCCGTTTTCAAGTTGAGGACACGTTTTTTATCYCTKCTGCTCCCACCCCTCTCCGAGGCGCTAAARCATGCGGTTCGGTGACAGCTGCTGKGGTCCCGGGGGATTTKTYACAGTGTTCATCACCTTTGRWGCGCTCATGCACAAYCCGCGCTGCTCATCCCGCTTTGTGCCTCATGCACGGAGGGTACAGGGCAGCTCCAGCTCTCCKTCACACCGCACTGACTCATCCTCTTCGCTTTTGAAGTCCCTTTTTCTGGCATTGACACCGGTTTAGGGGGCAGCTGACACACACTGAGTGTTTTCAGTCCCCGCGTTCCTCTGCTGATCATAGGTTTTCCTGTGAATAGGGACGATATGGAAAGAATGCAGCGGGAGCCAGACTCCTGTAATTTGGGTAACACGGATCTGTAAGCGCAGTTCATGTTGCTTTCCTTTTAATAGCCTTAGGTAGTTCACAATTTATGCAGCATGGAAAGATTTGTTTTAAAAATGTKCTCGTAGCAAAACAGGGTTACAAAATCTCCGGAACAACCAAGACGTGTCTTTGCAGGAAATGCCTGGTGTCAGTTTGGGAGARGACAATTCATTCTGAGTGCTTTTGGCTGGTCCAGTGACAGGGTGACCTTTGTATGAATAAATACAGTAATTCCTTTTTGATTGCAGAAAGAACCAGCCTTGTAATGGTAGCTCCCTGTATTCTGCCATGAGCTGAAGTGGTGGTAGGAACACATGCTGGTCTGTCATTCTGCTAGCATGCAGAGAAGCCTAAATATTTGAAATTATTTGAWATAACCCCATGTTAGGAGTCAGAGCAAAGAGAATGACTGCAGAACGGTGTGAAGCATCCTTCTCTTTGCTTTCCTTTAAAAATCAGGAAGCTTTCAACTTTTTGGATTTGATGGAATGACAATTAAAAGAGAAAAGGAAAATATCGCCTTCCGTTTGTTAACTATAAAAATGCAATCCAGCAGTGCTGCTGGTGCTTTGCTKTTTCCCAGGTCAATAAATGGCTCCCCTGACTTTAATAAACATTGATGCTGCAGGCTTGTTCTACAGTGATTGAACATTTTTATAGTTTCAACCACTCGCATTGCATGAAAGCTTTAAGATTTCTTTTCTTCTTTTTTTTTCCCCACCCCTCTTTTTCAGGAGGGTTGGCTCTGATGGATTAAATTGTCATTTTCAGAGTTAGTTGCTGAATTATAACTTGGCATTTTTAGCCATGCGATTTGTTTAAAGAGACAGCGTTTTGATATAGCAAAGCAGCTGAGAATTTTTAARCAGTAAAAGGAAATTTTGTTCACTTTGTTCTCAGCCTTTCATCACTGCCTGACAAAAATGCTCCTGAAAACAACATGAAGGCTATGATATGAGGAGAAGGTACTTAAATCCATGCTCACTTTATTTTTCCATCATGGAGCTTGTCTGTGCAGAACTATATTGCTTTCTATTAGTACTCAGATACCTCGTTGTTGCTCACGTTTGTCTTTCTGAGGAGGAAGGAAGGGAGGGAGGGGGAATTAGAGACATGAAATGATTGCCACCCAATGTGATATTTAGAGTGGCAGCAGTGTACTTTGGACTGACTGAATTACCTCTTAGAACACATGATGGATTTCTTTGCACCAAAATGATGGGTTCTGAACATGAGTCGAGTAACTGCAGGGGTTTCACCTAAATCCAGACTGAGCCTGGTTCAAAGGKACAAACACCTTGTAATTCTTTAGAAAATGAGAAAATCACATCCATGTCATGATGCATCCATTTTTTTTGGTTTGACCAGCTGCCACATTCCTTCTCTGTGGATAACTGTTGGTTTCAAGGTCTGATTTTTTTTTACTTTTCTCTACTCCCCCCAATTTAAATCTGTATTCAAGACAGTAAAGCTGAAGTAAATGAGACTCACATAAAAAACATGTGTGTTCAGAATGTGTTTGAAAAGGAAGGCCAACAAAACTGTCTTCTAGAACAT